AAGTAGTAAGTTCTGAATTGGAAATGATTGACTTCTTAAATGAAAAATATTTTATGGAGAGAAATGTTTACAGAATCACAGAATTGTCTAGATTGGAGAAGAGCTTTACGATCATCAAGCCCAACCATTAACCTAACACTAACAAGTCCTTGACTAAACTGTGTCCCTAAGCACTATGTCTACTCGACTCTTAAATACGTCCAGGGAAGGAGGCTCCACCACTGCCCCAGGCAACCTATTCCAATGCCTGATAACCCTTTCAGTCAAGAAATTCTTCCTAATATCCAATCTAAACCTCCTCTGGTGCAACTTGAGGACATTTCCTCTTGTCCTATCACTTGTTATTGGGAGAACAGACTGAACCTCACCTTGCTACAACCTCCTTGCAGGTAGCTGTAGAGAGCAATGAGATCTCTCCTCAGCCTCCTTTTCTCCAGGCTAAGCAACCCCAGTTCCCTCAGCCTTTCCTCATAGGACTTGTTCTCAGACCCTTCACCAGCTTTGTTCCCCATCTCTGGACATGTTCCAGCATCTCAATGTCCTTCTTGTTGTGAGGGGCCCAAAACTGAACACAGAATCTGAGATGTGACTCAAGATGTTGACCTATGCTTCATGAGCTATCAGCAGAGAGAGCTTGTCAGAACAAAATTGAAAGCATTAAATTGTTTGGGGGGGTGTGTTTGTCTGTGTTTCTTTAGTGCCCAGCAGGATGCAGTGTTTGAACTGGTTTCCATGGGATTTAATTTAGCTCTGTGGTACACAAAATATGCATCAAGACTCGCTGGAAAAGAAGAGTAAGTGTTTTCTTTTCTTAGCAATTGCATTGCAGCAGTATTCTGCCAAAAATTTTAGTAGGTTTTGAGTTTTGACTGCTGCAATGTACTGCTTTGTAATGTAATGTTTTGTAATTGTAATGTTTTGACTGCTGACATGTACTAACATGTGCAGCTGAGACTGTAGGAGTTCAAGGCGGCAACTGGCCTTCACTCATGTTCTGGAATGTCCAAGTGCACTTCAGTCCCTTCTTGCATCCGTGAACAAAGTGTACTAGTACCACATGACTGTGGTATAGAGGAGGTGTCAGTTGTTAATAAACCCTGAGCAGTCCTGCTCTGAATATCCAGTTACAAAACTGTTATTCTCAAAATCACAGTTCTACCGACTTTTAGCCCTGCAGATTTCTAAAGCTTTACCTTTTAGCACTGAGGTTACCTGTTACTTGAAAGTCATTAAAAGTTCTTATGGTTTTTTTTTCAGATAGGTTCTATTTGGTTATTTAATGATCGGACACTGTAAGAAACTTCTATACCATGAGGTAGCACAGCAGTGAGAAGGGTTACTTAGGGAGTTAGTGGACTCTCTGTTCTTGAGGTGTTCAAGATTCATCTAGAGAAAGCCATAACTGGCCTGATCTATTGTTGTCAATAGTCTTGCTCCAAAGCAGGAGGTGGGACCAAATGATACCTAGAGGCCCTTTCTAACTAAAATTTCATCGATTCGTCCTATATTCTTAGTATAACAGAAGATGAAGCAAAAGACGTTCACAGAAGCCTGAAGATAGCAGCTGGGATTTTTAAACACTTGAAGGTAGAAAAACTGTCTTTGCTGTCTCTTCTTTAAGTTGTCTCCAAGCACCTGACCTTTTGCCTTAGAAAAGCCTTTGCTTTTCTGACGGGGTTACAGAATAAGCAAATGCCTCAGGCTACGATACAGGGAAAAGAAGAGTATTAATACAAGTTGTGCTGCCACTCAGTACCTCCTTTTCTTTCCCAATGGCAGTGGAGGAGTAATCTGTCTGACCTGCAGCACATGCAGCCAGACCTTCACTCAGTGTCCCATCCGTTCAGGAGCAAGGGACTTGCTTTGCGTTGGCAGCAGCGGTATTAAGCCTAAACTAACTTTGAGACTTACTTTGCCTTTAGGAAAGTCACATTCCAAAATTGATCACGCCTGTAGAAAAGGGAAGAGATTTAGAAGCTCGACTTATAGATTCTTACATCGTACAGTGCCAAGCTGAAGCTCAAGAAGGTATCTTCAAATACACGTTTGTTGGGGATGGGAAATGACAGTCTTTGTGGGATAATGTCTTACAAAGTGTGCTTGGCAGCAATGCCAGTTTTTTCCTCCTGTGGCTTAGTGGGATGGGTTGCCTTTAAAGAAACTTACATAACAGTTGTAGAAGGAAAATGCCAAGTATCAGTGTGGTATTACAAATGTAACCACTTTGGAAGAATTTGTGTGTGACATTCTTCCCCTCTTCTTTTTTCCTTTTGTGCAGTCTCTTCACTATCATGCTTGCCTAATATAAATTCCCAGTTCCTTTAAGATGTTTGCAACTTCTGTTTACTGGCTTCTCTTCAGACTAACCTCCCTTCAGCTTTTCTGTTAATTTGCAATCATTCTATCCAAGCAGCAATCTATCTTTATTCTGCCGTTTGCTTGACTGTGCAGTACTTGTTTTCTGCTCATGCGGGGGATTTAAAATGTTAAATGCCTCTACTGATTTCATGTGACATCTTCAATTAAACTGTAACGCTGTGGTGTGGAAACTTTTTTCAGTGACGATTGCTCGAGCTATCGAGCTGAAACACAATCCAGGACTAATAGCTGCTCTTGCTTATGAAACAGCCAACTTCTACCAAAAAGCTGGTAAGTGTCTTGGTTTGTATCCTTAGTGACCTCGTTTACGCATTCTTGCCAGCAGATGTACTTCGCTTGCCCGTCGGTTGCGATGTTAGCACCGTTTCTTTGTGGATATGCTTTGTATATTTAGCTTCTCTTTAGCACATTTAAGGCTTTGGTGATCAGCATAACAGACATAAGGCCTTTTGGTTTGGGGGAACCTTCTTCTGTAGCTGACGGTAGGAAGCATTAGTGAGGGGAGACAGAAGACAGAGTAACGTCTTGAAAATATGGAACAGCAGCCAACAAGTGGCTTGATGGGAATGGAGTGTGTTTCAGCTGCCTTTGGGCAGCAGATTTAGATGCAGAACGTGTAAGCGTGCAGTGGGTTAATTATGTGCATCCTTCCAGATGAGTAATCTCGTCTGTGGGCTTACTGAGGCAAGTCGGAAAAGTGCAGAAATGTGGAAGCCAATGTAAGAGATGGGATATTGTAATGTATGTAGGCTTTTATAGGTCACTACTTGAAATTAAACTAGGAATGGGCTTTGAAACATTCCTTAAAAATACTTGGGAGAATGTCTTCCAAACTTAGTGGACAGCAGTTTCAGGGTTTGTAGGGTCAACTGTGTGTTAACTCAATAAACTGTGTATTTTTGTTTATTCTTGTTGCTTCTCAGCACTTTTTCAGGGGTGAGTTTAGTTAAGACCTATTGCTAAGTTTAAGAATTCTGGAATTTTTCTTTTTGGAAATGCATTAAAGAATAACTTCACCCATTTGTTCATAGATCAAACATTATCCAGTTTGGATCCAACCTACGCAGGTAAATGGAGGAAGTATTTGAACCTGAAGACTTGTTTCTATATGGCCTATGTAAGTACTTCGGTTGACAGGAGTTGCAGTTTATAACGTTGCCTAAGGGCCGGGTAGGGAACGAGCGCGAAGGGTTGCCTTGACTTTCTTTCCCTGCTCTGAAGAGAGACTGTGCCGTGTCAGTGGCATTTGAAGTGGTTTTGTTGAGCCAAGTGAAATGACAGCAGCGTGGAATTTTATTGCAATCACCTCGTGTTAAGTGCAGCAGTCCAAGTTAGGCATAATGCTTGTCTTCCATTATCTGCATCACAGTCTGATTCGAGGCAAAGTTCAGAGCTTGATTGTCTTTTTGAAGGCCACGAATGAAACCTCGTCGAATAGAATCATAGAATCATAGAATGGCCCAG